TTTTTATGGTCACTTTTGGTTTTAACACGTGGAAATACATTAAAATCATCTAATTTCAACCCCGAAACAAAAACTTTGTTGTGTTATTGAATAACTTTTTGAAAAATGGTGATAAAACTTTTTTTCCTACGGGACTCGATTCATTCAAGTGTTAAGAAGATACTAGATTTTTTTCAAATTTTTAAAATGACATTTTATGTAATGAAAAAATTATTTCTTTTGATAAACTCTCTTTAGCGGCAGTGCGCGCATGCCGCAACAGCCGTGCGGAACCCTATTTTCATCGTCAAATTAAAATTATAAATAATGGAGATAGAGTTTCGTGAGTCGAGACTTTTTTATGGGAAATTTCCTCCTCTTTAACGAACTTTTCTCAAAATTGCTCAAATATCAATATTTTGTAAGTTATTAACGAAAAACTGAATACCATTTTTTTATCTTATTTTGTTAATAACAATTTCAATTTTTCATCTGCACCAAAATCCATCAGAAACATTTTTCTAGAGATGATTCCGAATCGAATGAGCTATCGCTCATATTGTTAAGACCTCTATCTCTATTTTTCATGTTTTTGAACTTGTTGATTAGACTAATATTGTGTTGATAATTCACGAATTGACCGTCACTGAGTAACAAAAATACATTTTGAATTATATGTACTGTTTTGTCCTTACTATTTTTGGAGAATTATAAAATGTGCCTTTGAATCACTGCTTTTCCTACGGTGGGAAAAATTAATTAGCAATATGTCTCTTGAGAGAGCACATAAATTTGTAACTTATCTCTTGAGAAAGCGCATAAGAAAAAAAAGTTTTCTTATTGTGAGTGAAATGGCGTTGGTGGGATTGAACAAAAATAGTGGTTCAATCCAGTTTTTTCTAAGATCAATGAAAGAGAAAATGACGAATATCGTATCCATCGTTGATGGCTAAAATCTGTTTTTCGGGGGTAGTTATAGTTATATAAAGCAAACTATTCATTGGACTTGACTTCCCTCTATAAACTCAAAATCAGCTGTTTCATTCATTCTATTTGGAATTGTACAAAAAAATCTAATTTGAATTCTCTCTGAAATGGACATATTTACAATCGTGCCACAAGACAAACCAAATTACTATCAAAAATCAAAATACAAACAAATTTTGGAAAAAAAGTTGATATATCACGATGGAATCATTGTATTCATATAATTTCCTGGACCCGGATGTCACGCAGGTAGCTATAGCTGCCTCCGTGGTGATTTTGATAGTTTTCTTGTGAACACGAGATCTATCAACTGAAACCACAAATGTGCGGTTGGCTCCTGTTGGTGGCTCCGTGCATTTGTATTTCTATATTTTGGTAACCAAGTGTTGCCCATCCTCACACTTGGCTGCACCATACTGATGATGGGCCAAAAGCCCGAAACACCTAGAATTCCCAGGCTACGTCTAACATGACCTCGTAGGCAGCTATAGCTACCTGCGTGACATCCGGGTCCAGATTATAAATACAAAAAGAGATTTTATCGAGTTATATGCAGAGACTCGGACTGTCGGAAGACAGTGTATCGCCTCTGTTTGAAAAATGATGAGATAGCAGAGCACATACTTTGTGCCTGCCCCGCTGAGAACCTAATCAGGTTTGTAGAGTTCGGCAGAGCCGTACTCTTACCATTTGACATGAAAGACCACCCACCATACAAACTAATGTTAAAATGTTTATTTGGTGAGTGTGAATAAGTGTGAGCTACAATAAACCCTTGCGGGTTATGGTAGAGGGTCGAATAGATCCACTCACTTTGAACCTAACCTAACCCATCCTTGCTATACCAGAATTTTCAGGAATTAATTTGTAAAAAAGCTCAAATTGCAACTGGTGAAATCTCCCAAAGAGACATAATTTGTTTGGTTTGTTAAAAACGTTGAAAATATCAAAACCAGATAATTTGCTTTTCACGTACATTTTTCAATAGTGAATACAAGATGAATGAAATCGTGAATGCATGAATGCATTCAGAATGAATGAATTAATGAATATACGCTGCCTATTGTTTTAGTAATGAAGTAACTATTTGTCACACTGAAGTGATGATACTTCAATGATACTTCAAATCTTTGGTCCACAGCGGCTGTGAAAAGTCATTTATGAGTTTTTCACACCCCTAAAATAGAAAAAATCGAATGTAAAAGGCAATACGGCAAATATTTTTTTGCATACGTAAAAAAAGTTTCATTTTTCGTTTTGAAAATGATGAACAGCATCAAAATGTTTTCATAGTAGGTATGTTTCTTTTTGGGGCGATAAATTCCAATTTTCAGTGTATATACTTAACAAAATCTGTATCATATTCACAGACTTGAAAAAGAGGTTTTTGGCTTTCTACCCATCCATCTTCATATACAAATGTAGGAAACTTCCTATAGAAGCAATAATCGCATTATCTTCAAATCTTTGTAGGGAGTTAATTTTGAACTTCTTTCCTTCCTCCAGAAGTTTATCACATTGTTGCATGAAAATGTAGAAGTGGACAGTCACTACATCTCGTTTCACACTTTTCAAAATATGTCTCATTTGAGGACCATTGTTTTTGTGGAATGAACTTACCAAGCCTCACTTTCTGAATAAATACGATATACAGCGATTTGAAATTTTCTGATAATGATTTCAAGATTATCATTTCATATGAAAATGATTGGGGATACAGCCACAAACCTCTTGTTATAAGTTATAATAAAGAAAGTAATAAACCATTTCCAATGTGAAAAATTTATTCGAATACCTCTATCAAACGGTGGCTGACTATCACAATTCTCATACGAGATATGGTCTAACTTCAACTCATGAATATGCAAATCTTAGGCAGTCCGACGACCACTCCACAAAAGCTGTGCCAGAAGGGCTTAAGTTGTAATTTCATTTTGCTAAAACTAAATTAACGTGGGTATTAGGCTAAACCCGCGGCTTTTTACCGGTTTTTGAATATTTTGTGTTCCTCGATTCGGCTGAGTTGTCTTTCTGTTCTGCTATAATGGATGAAAAATGGAGTGGATAAAAAGTTGAATTATTTTTTCGATATAACTCTGTTTCGCTTGAAAGTTCTCACATCAGAGAACTTTCAAAGCAGGTGGGCTATTTATAAATGAGTTTTTGTACATAATGTATATTTTTTGGGTTTGAGTTTCCTGAAATAGTTACCCCATTTCACCTGATAACAATAATTTTCAGAAGTTCTGCAAAGGTAGACGTTTCGGTAATATACCGGAGTGTTACTTCTCAATATGGTTTTTATATTGCTGTTGTTGAAGTATAATTCCTACTGAGTGGATCTTCCAAATTTCACAAATTTTATATGGATTAGGCACGTAAACAAGGTTCTAATGATTTCCTGAAATGTCTGTGTTCTATCTAATTTCAAATTGATAATTATTGAAGATTTGATTTACATATCAATTTCCTCTTCATTTTTCTACATCAAGAGTATCGCAAGATTCAAATATTGGTCCCCTGTTATATTTAGTATTCAATAATGACTCGGCAAATAACTATTTTCGTATGTTATGAAACTTCATACTTCTGTCAGGACACTGCCTCATGAGTTTTTCAACTTTGTGGAAAGTAGATGCTCTGATAATAAGCTCTACATTATATAAAAATGCATTAAGTTGTAACGTTTGATTGAAGCACTCTCAGTTTGTGAGAAAACAAAAGTTTCAGGAATTCTAATGTACGATTATCTAACCCTAACCTTTTTGTGGAGAATATAAATAACATTTCCTCTGGTTTGAGGAATTTCGGGTTCGTGATCTGTAATTGTGAATCATTCACAAATATGTCGACATTGAAAAGTATATATTTTTCTTTCGTTTGCTCACAATTAGAATCTGCACATCACTGCCTGCAAATTCCTATATTTCGAGGTTGAAAATGGATGATATTATGCGGTGACAGAGATTCATTTAATTTTTCCTAGATTACATGATTGAGTTATTGATACAAAAATTTGTGAGATTAAAAAAATTATGATACTTGAGAAAAAGGTTCCGGAACTGCAACAGAATTAGTAGAAGAAGAAACAAAAACAAGTACTCTAACATCAAGAGAACGTAATTTGCTTTCCATGAACTGCCAATGATCGAGCTCAACATTTTCCATCACGAAAAGAAGCGATGAATCAACTTCAGCAACAGAAAAATATCATTGAAATGTTGTTGCTCCAGAAATGAGAGTTTCCATATTTTTTTTGTTAATTCATAATTCGATCATCATTGATGACATTGAAATTAGGTGATATGAGACTATAGAAAATACGATTCGATTAGGTATGGAGTAGTTCGGAACAAGGATGGGAGATTATTTTGGGAATACAGTTGTCTATAGAAATTGAAATCAGTCTTATGACTTTTCGAGGAGATACATAAATATGAAAAAAATATTTCAAAATGAAAAATCTGAAACATTCACCTCTCTCAACTTCAAAACACAGTAGGATCTGATAAATACTAACCGGAAAACAGTTATTTATCTACCTGATACCCTTCTCACAAACAACACTTTCGCAGATGCTCTCCATTCATCAAATAGTAGTACCTCATTGAAAAAAAATCATATGATCACCTACAGACTGGTTTTAAGGTATTAATTTTCGTCAGTCTGGTCCACTACTAAGATTTTCTCATTGTACCTTGACTGCATGTACAAAACCTTCGATTGATAAATTTTTTTTCCTAGTACAAACTCGTGAACAGAGAAATTAAAATTCGAATCATTTACCATTCCCAACGTATCTACTCCGTAGGATTCGGTGAATGGCCATTAGGAATGTATACAACTCTCCTCACAGAGGAAATTTTCGAAAATGCGTCTCGTTTGCCTAGCAGTTTCGGGCTATCATCCCACAATAGTGCAGGAGAGATTCAATCAAGACAGCAGTGCGTCGAGTCCCTTCTTGAGAAACTTCAAATCATCATTTCAAGACAATTCATGCATTCTACAATTGACTTCAGAAACATTCCAAAAAAATGAGGGATATCAAGAGTGAGTCAAATAACCACGTTAGTTTCATGGACATTTCTAAAAGTTTTTATCAACGAAATAATTCCATCAAAATCATTACAAAAAAAGGATCTCATTGAAGGTTTAACTTCGTGCATCATTTCTTTCATTTCTTAATTCAGTGATGGAATATATGTCTATAGAAAATATTGTTTCATCTGAGTGAAGTTCTTCTATTTCAAATGCTTCTAATTAGATGAACTAGGAAATGAATTTCATTCAAAAATATTTTCAAAATCATTTGACTCGCTTGAAAGTCTCACTTCAAACAAGAAAATAAATGAAACTTCGTTACAAATTCTTTCGATGTTTAGCAATTCAAGTTATTTTCTTTGTCATTGTTGAAAAACAGACCAGATGACCTTTTCTGTATGCATATTTCGAACTTGGATAGCACTCAGTATAGTCAAAGATTCCAGAACTACCGAACTCACATCATTTTATCGAAGCGTTCATCTCACAGACATAGACAATAGGTGTTTTTTTAGAAATGTATGCATACTTGATAATTTTGAAGTCAGGCCATTTAAGATTACTCAAATATTCTGCCCCCAACTTTCGCGTCAAGGATGTGTGCTCGAATTTTTATATTCTGAATTCAGATCAATGCTAATATTAGTAAGTATTCGTGGATCATTAGTGAGCCGTCCGACTTTTGTTGAACACTTTTATTATTACAGGACGGTTTAAAAAGCGTATGTTGGGAATGCGATAAGAGAGGACACTCTTCATCTATCTGTTGTCTCTACCAGAACTGAGTCGCACTGTGACAACTGTGACAGGCAGTAAATATGGCCTAAGCTCCTGAAGCCGTTGAACTTATACTTACACTTGTCTGTTTGGGGGGTAAACAATATTGAACAACATTGTCATTGAAACGTGACGGTCGTTTGCTAATAGTTATTTTGCTGTAATCTTTTTGCTGATGCTATGAATCAATGGAACAATGAATTGTTTTTCCACAATACCGGACGTTTTTGTAATTATTTTTACAAGAGACTTCTTGTCCGTACGATCATGTGGCAACAACTCCTGATGCACTATACGCGACGGTGGTTAGAGCAAAACCTTGACATCCCATCTAACTTGGCGTGTTTTTTTGGTCTTGGCTCTTCTGGGCTTTTCCATTGGTACAATTGGACTTTGGTTTTCCAAGTCATAACCATATACCCATGTTGCGTCATCAGTTATGACGCTTTCAAGCAAATCAGGATCGCCGTTGACATTGTTCAAAAATTCCTGACCGATGCTCATTTGATTGTGTTTTTTTTTTGGTAAAAATCGTTAATTTTTGAACGAACTTCGTTGCCACACGCTTCTTGACAAAAATTTACGGAAGAACCACATGGCATGAGCCAACAGCTGATTAACGGAAAAACAGATTTTAAACAAATTTTTTCCTAAATCAATATACCGATATCCTCAGAGCAACTTCTTGAATAGTGATTTGAATAGTTCGAATGTCAATCTATAAACACTTCCGAAACAAAGCGGTAATAACAACTGAAACAATTATATGAATTGTATTCGCAGTAGGAAGCATGTAGTTGTATTTCTAGTTACGGAATAAATTTGATGAATGCGATTAACTATACAACCTGTTATTAATGGACCCACAAAGAGTAATGATATTTCCCGCTCAAAATAGAAAACGATTTGTATTAACACGAATTCATTTTATATGAAAAAGCTATTTTTCTCCCCATGAAGAAATCAATATTGTTTCTCGAAAATCAATTAGAACACGAAATGAAAACATAAATTTCACTTTCTCAGAAATTGGCATTGATTAATTTTCACCATTCATTAAAAGTACAAATTCAAGAAGCTTTTAACAATTCTCGCTCCTTCAAAGATATTTTGAAAAAGAATTTATGCAAAATAATCTTTGAACACAAATTATGGAATGACATTTTGATACATTATCAAAAAATTAGGTATAATTCCTTGAATTCCTTTATAATCTGAGAATTCGACATTTCCAAGCTCTGTAATTTTGACATCATTAACAATGTGTACTTTTCATTTCAGTTCGTCCTCTGACGGTGGAAATTTTAAGCAGCAATAATCCGTTTTCTGCAGATAGAGAGTACGAAATACCATGCCAAACAGTGGGTTCCAGGCCTCCTGCAAAAATATCATGGATTATGGACGGAAAAGAGCTTCAACCACCTAAATATAATATTTCGCAAACGGTGAGCTTTCTAAAGATCAAAATCAAAACAACGGATTATTTTCAGGTGGGACAATTCATCTTGTATATCTCTCTGATACAATATTTTAAGTAGATTCATGATTCAAAAGAAAGAATCGTGAAATTATTCGATAAGTCATATATATTATTTTGTACGATTAATTTCCAGCTGATGCTACATATACATGTATATACTGACGGTACTGACGATGCCTTATAGGATGAAACAGCTGTTTATCGGTGTCTCTTAAATTGAAATCAATATGGGAATGATCAAAGAGTACTTATCTATTTATTTCTTGATTNATCAACCAGGGGATTAGTTGTTTTCTTTTAGGTATCAGTTCATGAATCTACAGTGTAGGTGTGTTGAGACTGACCTGAAGGAATTGTTCATTTGGATAATTTGACAGCTAGTCTTCAAGTATGCTATATGTGAAGTTTTACTAATATGTACCATTTCAAAAAGCAATTTTTTGTTTTGTTATTTTCATATGAGGATTTTCATATATGATAATAAAAAAATCAGCAGTGGAACATAACAAAATTAAAATATTGTTTCTTGAAATAGTCATATTAGTGAAACACGAAATAGTTTGAATGAAAATTTCAAATGCAAAAATTGAGCAGAATTATATTTCAATTGAATTGGGTGCTGTGACGAATCAATCTTCTCAACTATCTTTTTGCTATATTTCATCTGTAAAATTTTATTTGTTTTGTAAATGCCAATTTTTTCTCAATAATCTAACTTTGATGAATTTCTTTCATACTTGTTTTCATTCATTATTTGCTTCCATTTTAATTGTTGGAGATATTCTTGAGAAAGAATATGAAATTTTACGAAAGTTTGGAATACAAGAAGACTGATACCCAATAAAACGAAAAAACTTTCATACATATATTCGGATTTGACATCAATTTCCCTACCAATAGGTACAGATTTTTGCTGAAAAAGAATTTGTCTCACTTCTCATGAACTCATGGTCTTTTCGCTATTCATATTACCAAAACATCAACCCCACCAAAGAAATCAGAATTTTTCACGATAAATCGATTGTTTACGATTGCAATCAACAGATCGTTAAAAACAGATTCACAAATCTTCCATTAACCATAGCGTGAAGGGTATTCTTAGATCTTCGCCTGCCCATCATTTGATACTGGCACACTTTTTTGTTCTATGGGTCTTGTGATTTTTTTGTGGCATCTGAATGTTCTGAGTTATTGCCTAAATTACCGATGAAAAAGACGAAACTCTGGAACTTGCATTCTTTCATTCTCAGATGAATTTTCCTTTTCATATCCAGTCTACCTGTAATTTGAACCGGAAAGTTTCGAGCAAAATACATTTTTCGAAAACCAAACCTTAACTGATATCAACTGATATTTGCTGATAAATCGCGCATCGTGTTATTTTATTGGTAATAATAGTATGCTTGTTAATAAACTCTCAATATACAGTGCATTTCTTCAGTATCCCCCCTTTTATTCTTTGAACAGGTCAACCCAAAAAATTCAAATTTGGGATAATGAAATTAATGAATAAATACTTTATTTTGAAGTAAAATTGATAGATGAAACTTTCGAAATGGCGACTGGGTGCCATCTGGAAAAAAATTAAATGGAAAAGAGGGTCTTGTGATACATCATTTTGAAGTTCCTGAGGACTACTTCACAACCCTATGATATGAAGTCAATATCTTCACCTACTACAAAATGGCGAAACATTTAATAATTTCCTGAAGACAAAACACATTAATATCGATATTTATCAGCCTTATGGCAATTCCAACAACCCGATGAGGTTTGTTAAGTTATTTATTGTTTATAAAAATGACAAAAAATATCAGAACGACAGTGAACATCATTGTTCACTTAGAATATTCTCATTTAGTTTTCGGTTCTACTGGTAGAAAGGTACCGTCAATCTCTAAAATGGACAATTAGATGAAAAAATTGAAGTGATTTTCATTTACGGTGCGACGCATAACTTTCACGAGACCAAAATAATTTTCAATGAACGTTTTCCGAATCGTCCTATCTGTAGAAAATATTTGGTGGAACTTGTGTCCAAATTCACAACTACCGATAGTGTACATAACAAAAAGCCCCCAGGTCATTATCCATTCCGGAAGAACAGCAGTAGCAAATAATTGGTGAGATGGTAGTAAATATTGAACAGTCAACTCATTCCGTCGCGAATATTTGTGAGGTGTCTTCTTCTACTGTGTGGAGACTTTTAAAGAGGAATAGGTATCATCCATACAAAATTGAAATGATACACCAATTAACTGAAGATGACCCTGATCGAAGAACAGAATTCTGCGAAATTATCACGGAAACATTGAAAGGCATACTACCTATCTTCACAATATTTGTTTCAGTGACGAATGTACATTTTGTTCAAACGGCAATATTCACAGACAAAATTCCCATTATTGGAGTGACACCAACCCTTACATTTTCCGGGAAACACATACTCAATATCTAGAAAAAATTCACGTTTGGGAAGGAATATTGTGAAACCATATTGTAGAACCTCTATTCATTGATAAAAATTCAACAGGGGAACTGTGTATGAATATGCTGGAAACTACTGTTGACTTTCTCATCACTGAAATCATCAAAGCAAATCCTAATGAATTCGATATGGATATTGTATTCCAACAAGATGGATCACCATCACATTACTCCAGACAAGTAAGAAATTATTAGGATACTACTTTTCCCGGTCGTTGGATTGGCCGTCTAGGTCCTACAGAATGGCCAGTCCGCTCGCCAGATTTGACACCTTTGGCCTTTTTTTATGGGACTATCTGAAGCGAAAGATATACGAAACTGAACCTAATTCAATATTGGATATACGGCAGAGAATCATAAATATTTGTAGAGATATTGACGTTACTGTTTTCGAAAATGTTAGGTGTGAAATATCGGATAGGCTGTTTATAGGTCGAAAAGTTCAAGGAAACCATTTTGAGTGTCTTCTTACTGATCTTGAGCTTATTACCTCATATTATGTAATTGAATGTCAATGTATTGAGGCAATTATTAGAAGTTTCGCCATTCCGTAGTAGTTGAAGATATTGACTTTATATTATATGGTTCTGAAGTATTTGTCAGGAGCTTTGAAAAGATGTATCACAAAACCTCCCTTTTTATTTGATTTTTTTTCCAGATGGCGCCCAGTCGCCACTTTGAAAGTTACATCTGTCAGTTGCTCTTTAAAATGAAGTATTCATACATTGATTTCATTATCCCAAATTTTAATTTTTTGAGTCGACCCGTTCAAAAAATTAAAGTATGGGGACATTAAAGAAATACACTCTATAGATATTCATCATTTCATATTTTTTTGAACCGCTTCGGAGATGTTTTTTCTGTTCCAATTAACAAACCGAAACGAATCTTCGGATAGTCATAACAGTGGCAGAATGTTTTCTTTGTGATCATAATATTGTGATACAAAATATACTACTACGTATGCGACACTTCGTAATAACAATCACTCTCGAATAATGTATCTGTATATGAATTCATGTTTGCGAAAGCATTGTTTGTTATTATTAAAATTTCAGGAGAGAAATATTCAATGCTATTCAAAAATATTCATATTTCATTATTGATGAACAATAATAGTTTTAGTATTGACGAACCACCATTCACGTGATCACTTTTTGAATTGCAATATTCATTGAAATTATAAATTCAATAGAAAGTTTTGTTTTAAAGTTTATTTTCATGAATTGAAACCAGTTGTGATAGACAAAAATTGATTCTATGAGCTTCACCATTGCGTAGTACATATTTTTTCATAAACTACAACTCACTATTTGATCTCTACAAATCTCATTTGAAAAAAATATCACGACATGTTTCGCTAACACAGTAGCTTCTTCAACAGTGATTTCAATACATATTCAAATATTCAAATCACTGTGTTAGAGAAACATGTCGTAGCTTCTTCAATACTGATATAAATATTTGAATATGCATTCAAATCACTGTTGAAGAAGATACTGCGTTAGCGATACATGTCGTGATATAGTTTTCAAATTAGGTTTGTGGAGATCAAACCGTAAGTTGTAGTTTATGGAATGACTATGGATCTTCAACAAGTAACGGCCGAATCAATCAGAAAGAGAAAAAAATACAATACATATATTAACGGAAGGTTCGGAATAGAAAATTACTTCAATCTAGCAGACCACTATTATAATATTCATGCAGTCATTGCTCACTGTGGTTCTGTCGTTGAATTTGGTCATTATTACGCCTTGGTCAAAGACGAAACGGACTGGTTTACGTTTGACAATAGTCGTGTGACGAAGTGTTCTGGCGATGCATTGAAGCTATTGGAGCCTACATTTTGTTTTATGAGAGAGAAGTCATTGGCAGATCAAGATTTTCAGATGATGTGGTGCTGCAGGTTTTTCCAGGTTTGCCGGCAGCTGAAAAAGCAAATGCGCCACTGGAATCAATGAAGTCGCCCCGGAGCGCCAATTAATTTTTATTGTTGTTATTTTCATTTTTATCGTTGTGATATTAAATAGTCAATTATTAACGAAACAACCTCTTTCTGATGTATATCAACGACTTATTGGGAAAAATCAAGAATAAAATGTATTGCTTTGCTGACAACAGCACACTTGTTTCGTCATTCCATTCAGATCCTAGGATATCGGCGATGAATGCACATCTTTTCCGGCAGCAGGAGGTTGAATATCTTAATGAGTACCTAGAAGTGATTTCGAATTGGAGTGAAACCAGGTGCAATTTAATGCCACAAAATCCCAGCCATAAATTTTCTCCAAAAAATAAATGTCTCCGAACCGGATACATTTACGTCAGTTCAGACAATTCCATTTTCTGCTTCTGGTTGAAATGGACACCAACATTTCTTAGTACAAACATGTCGCTGGAATTACAAAAGTTGCTTCTCGAAAACTAGTAAAACTTCTCCAAACCAGAAAACTATATACACAATTTTGATGCTTTATAAAGCTCAGATCAGATCTTCTTCGGTATATTGTTCTCATCTATGGTAAAGCATAACCTGAAACTGCTGGATTCCATCCAGAAAGGAGCCATCTGCCTGATTAAAGACGCAAACATCACTTGCAACCTTGATTATCTGGAACATCGAAAGAAGGTTGGATATTTGTCTCTCTTCCATAGATACTTTCACGGGAAGTGTTCAAGTGATTTGGCACATTTGATTCCACTAAGAGCGGTATATATGAGAAATACGCGACGGACTGTGGCTGCTCGTCGTTCCGAAGTTCAACTCAGTATACCTCGAAATTCACTGTTTGAGAACTCTTCCATTTGGAGAAATGCGTTCATGTGGGATAAACTTCCTGAGAACGTTTTTCCGAAAAGCGATTCTAATCCAATGTGAATCACTACATTCACACAGGCACCGCTGTTAGTGCGCCTTGAATATTTTCCTGTAGTGCTTATGTTTTATCTTTAGAAAAAATTAATATGCAAGTTTTATCTCAAAAAATGGGTGAATATATATTTTTTTTAATATTTGATGTTTTCAAACTCCGTGAAACCATATACTTGCTCTTCCATAGATTCGATGTTATGCATTCGGGAGCATTGACCAACCACTATTTTTGTTGTACCGTGATGAATGATAATGATCATTCATCCCTGTTTAAAAAATAAATTTTACAGCAAGAGTAAAAGTCCACCGAAAAGTCCACCGAAGAATTCCTTTTGAATTTGAGGGTGTTCCACAAGGAGTTAGCCATGATTTCTGCACAGATTTCTGACATTTCATGATGAATAAAATTGAAGACTGTCTGAAGTTTTTCTCTGAAAGGATTTATTGAATTCGAATTTACAATTTCTATAAGTTCTGGCAACGGTGTTAACAGTATGAATGCTGGAAACTGACGAGTAGATTCTGCAGGTTTATGAGATAGAGAGGAATGAGAAGAATTCTGTCTGTCAGCCTGTTTTTCCGTTATTCACGCTGTCGCTTCCATACGAACGACAACTCTCATAAGTTGAGAAATTTGTGCGAGCTAAGGATTAACGAGGTCATACCTTTTAACGTGTGATTCCTAACACGGTTGCAGAATTATCCCAGCCTCAACCAGATAAATTCTCTCGAGAAAAATATCTGGCCGAGGCGGAAATGGAACCCACGGCCTTCCGATCGTGAGTCGGGCGCACTACCACCGCGGCCAATTCCACAATTGAGTATCAAAATCAGAAATCAAAAGTTTGAAAATGAAATGAGTAAAAAAATTATGTTGAACGGTTTCATTGAAAAAAGAGGTGTAAATAATGATGTAGATAATGTACTGAAAACTAAAAAATAATTTGGATGGTTTCCGTGTAGCAGTCATCATACCACTCTCCTCAGCAATCCACAGTATTGATGAGATGCTGGAATAATGAAATCGTTGGGTGTAGTATTTACGTATTTACTCAGGTTACACTTCGCCTAACGATTTTATCACTTTTTCGAATAATCAACATCGTAGATTGCTGAGGAGAGTGATCTGATGATGTTGTTTCTTTTTTACTTCAATGAAACTGTTCAATATAACTTTTTCCACTTATTACATTTTATTTGCAATCTGTCATTTGGTATCTCAGCGCTGAGTTCAAAAAGTGCTCTACCAAGCTTATTTCAAATTAGTGTGACAAAACCGAGTTTGAATTTCATTAGTTCGGACTTTCATTGTCTGATATCATACAAAATGATTCAAAATTCCTGACAGAAATAATGAAAAAGAAAGAATTCAAAATGAATAGTTGAAAATAAGAATGTTATATTGAGCAAAAAAAATTTGTTCAATATACACTTCCACTAGTCATAGCCAACATATATATGAAGTGATTTGAAACTCTGGCCATTGAAGAAGCCCACAAGAAGCTTCGAATCTGGTTGAGATATGTTGACGGCACATTCATAATATGGAACCATGGGAATACTGAACTAGACGCCTTCCTGAAACAGATCAATATGGTAAGACCTTCCATCATTTTCACAATGGAGAATGGAGACGTATTTTTAAACGTATTGGTGAAGAGGACCGACACTAAGTAGGAAAAATCTGTATACCAAAAACCCATTCACACGAGACAGTATCTGAACCACAAATCCAACCATTGCTATTATATCTTGCTTTCAGGCTCTATAATACAAAGAAAGGTCTCGAGAAGGAACCTGACATCATCAAAAATTATCTTCAACATTCCAGGGATTTCAAAATCATTTTATAAATCAAACAATGAAAGTCCAAATCAATGAAATTCATCATGAAACATTGTCAATCACCTTCAAACTGAAACAAAATTTGTTTTCAACTACTCTCATGCAGCTGTTTAGATTGAAAAGATCAGGTTCTTCGCCACATCACACATTTCTAATGTGGTAGTGTCACCTTCCGAGTCTATGTTTTTCTTCTTGTATTTTGTTAGGAATCATATTTTTCGAGTGAACTGTCAGTTCAGTGATCAAGTTAGTTGTTTGCGACAATTTTTTGGATAATTTCCCGGTTTTGCCATGATCTTCTATGGTTATGATCTGCAAACGTACGTATCAAGAAGAGTACTTCGACCATGCCACTGAAGATGACTGTCGCAGTTGCAGTCGAAACGTTTGGATATCATTACCAAGGAGGGCCATGGCAAAACCCGGAAACCATTCTAAACACATATTTTGGAGTTAGCAAGTCCTCAAAGTTCATTTGTAAATGAAACTAATTAAAGTACAACTTCGCTGATCTTTGATGGGCCCCGTCAGTGTTGAATAATGTATCTCAACTGTTCTTGGTTTGAAAAATGATTGCCTACTAGATCTCATTATCCAACTCGAAACGGTTATTCTTCAATATTCATAAAAACACACTTCCATTGTTATACCAACGTGCTAGAAAGTCAGTCGCTCATGTTCATAATACATGTCACGAAAATATCGTAATTTGATCATTACAATCTCTTTGCAGGACTCCCCAGATGGAAACTCGACCATGTCAAAGATCTCATTCATCCCCACGAGACTAGACAATGGACGAACGCTTACGTGCAGAGCATCTAATCACCTGGTCCAGAACGGTGTAGAAGAACATAGCGTGAAATTGAACGTTTTCTGTAAGTTCTTCCAATGAATATAAAAAGCGCTACATTGTTAATTATAAGATGTCTCGAAGGGGATTTCTTTGTTTGCTACGCCTTCCTCGTAACTCCTCTGTTCTATTAACAATTGAGCTCTTTTTTGTCGTTCCTTTCCTTTCACGTCGAGTGATTTTATATCAACTGGGGGCGATGGGGTCTTTTGAAATTATTCAAAATCAGTGATGAATATTTTCATTGATATTACTTCATTGAATTAGTAGGTTTATCAATAATTCAAAAAAATTAATTGTGTATTGATTTTGAACTATTCGTGAATATGTTTATTGAAATATTTTTCTTTCGAAATTTCACAAATATGACTCTTAATTGTTTGATTCGATTTTTATTGCGAATGCTCTACAATTCAATACGAAACAGACGAAACCAATCAGTGATAGTCATTTCATAATACTCATATGTTTTTCTACAGAAAGCTGTTTTTAATGAGGTATTTTGAATATGTTGAGGTTTTCATTGAAGAAAGTTAAAACTACATCCATTTTCCAATTCGAAAGCTCAGGAATCTATAGTGTTTTTCACTCCAATAAATGGAATTTATAACTGCCTTTTATGGCTATGAAATGAACGGACAATGGAAAAAAAATCCATACACAGCTTCCTTCAGAAGGTCGACCAGACCACAAACCTCTCGAAAATATTATTGAAAAAGAAATTGGTACTCTCATGAGTAGACTACGGAGGATGATGCTGAAATTATTGGCAAATGATCTGAAAATAAACTACATTATTGGGGAATGCATGTATATTGCTGATACGTTGCCGAGAGCTTATTCATAGAATCCAGTAAGGGATGACCCTGAACTTCAAAATGTCGTAAATTTCATTGCCAAAAAGTCAGCAATTACAGAAGAGTGGAAACGGGATTTTCAAAAACAGACCAATGAAGATCCAATTCTGCAAAAGAAATGAATTGCCACGTTATAGACATTATGTCAAAAGGCCTGCTAGTTCATACTCGAATATGAGAGAATGAATATCAATTTGGTACAATGTTTTGTTTGTTGATCACAAATTAGTGGTACCTTCTAATCTGAGAACTATAATGTTGGAGGATTCACATGAAGCATTAGGGAACGAAAAAAAAATAAAATAAGAACAAGGCATTGCATATTGCAGCCAAGAATAACAAAGAGTATAAAAATGAAGTTGCAAGTTTTGAACTTTGTAACAAATTTCGAAATGAAATAAAAAAAAGGAACATACGAAGTTTCTGATAGAGCTTGAGAGGATATTGCAACTGATGTATTGTGATTCATAGGTGTGAATTATTTTGTAGTAATAGATCATTTCTTGAACTGGTTAGTAATCAAGAAATTGGGAGGGAAGACTGAACGAAATATTTGCTAGAAACGGTATACCAGAAGCACTGGTTTCAGATAGTATGCCGTTCAATAGTTATTAATCAGTTTCATTTATTTGTCAAAGAATAGGATATACAATCAACAATAAGGTCTCCAGTATACCCGCAATCAAAAGGTTAAGTGGAACGAGCCATCCAGATTGCGAAAAACATGTTGAGGAAGGCTAAGGTACAGCGTACGTATATTTATGTGATGCTAATTGAATACTGAAATACACCCCTCAATCAATTAAACAAATCTTCATCACGAATTATACTCAATGACTCAGACTCAGAATGAAACTGCCCATTTTGAAAAGTGAGCTGATGCTAAATATCACTGAAAGGAAAGAGAATATCAGCACATGAAAAACCAAAATGTTATTACACTAGAAGAGCAAAAGTATTTTGGCCTACTATAAATGAACAGGATGATGACTATTACAGAAGAGAAAAAGTTCGGGAGAAAGGTGGAATAAAGAAAGTTCATACATCTCCTAGGGCCTATGAGACAAATGACAGTCCACTTTTGAGAAACGGTAAATTCTTCAGGTCGGAACACACTAATTATAAGTGTGTCATGACTGGATGAAAGTAAAACAGAGCTGGAAACAAAATCACCCTCAACTTCTATTTCCGCCATCCCTAGAAAGTCTAAAAGAAGGATTGAGATAACATCAAAATTTCAAGACTTTGAATTATATAAGTAATCAAACTTGAACGGAGAGATGTTATATATTATACTTTTGATGACAAGTAGATATGGGTATTAGGATTAGGAACTGCCATGTTTGTTGTAAGTCACGGAAATACGGAGTTGAATGGTTAGCTGTACATGTTATCATTTCCCTTTATATATTATATATTCAATGAAGAAAATCAAATTTATAATAGTTTTCAACACCAAAAACATTCACTTGTGGACCAGACCTCAATTGCAAACAGCTTTCTGTATCTGTATCTGTAGAGTAGGGAGGGTGAGTGTAAGCTCACGCACTTAGGCCACATGTGAACCATTGTACATCCTCTCGAGGAGTTGTCCTCCTAGGTCATCGTCCAAACTGTTCTTTTCAGGAAAGTGGACAGGTCGCTGGAGACATCTCCTTTATATCGGCAGGTGTAGGCCAAGACTCGCCGAACACACACTCTCTCATTGACGATAACTTCGGGCACTCGCACAGGACATGCCTGACAGTCTCATCTTCCTGTTCACACATCCTGCATAGAGGTGTGTCCACTAGCCCCATATTATGTAGGTGTTTCCTTAGCTGACAGTGGCCAGTCATAAATCCTACTGTAAGGCGTAGATTTTTCCTGGTCATCGCCAGATATTTCTTCGGCGCCAGCTTCTCAGGGTCGCCCAAGGTGATCTTGTCAAGATTACATCCTTTGATTCCATCTCCTTTCTTCAAGGATGGAGCAGTTCCGCAATTGTCGAAGTAATCAGGCCGTGGGTGCCACTGGGTCCTGAAATTCTCAGTCCAGCCGCTTCCTTGGCCAAAGAGTCGGCAATGTGATTAGCTTCACTCCTGTCGTGCCCTTTAACCCACCTCAGGACAATGTTATTATCTACCGAGGCTTTAGCTAAATCTTGGTGGCACTCTAGTACTAGCCCTGAGGTAACATGCTGTCTGTTCAAGTCTAATAGTGCTTGTCTGCTATCATTGCAGATTGCTATGTTTTTGCCAGAAAGTCCTTTCTTGGTTATTTCTTTTGTAGTGATTGAGATACCAGCCAGTTCTGTTTGGACCACGCTGGTATTTCTTCCCATTCCCCACTCAATCCTTAGGCTTAGTGATCTGGAGTACACTCCACATCCTGAGCCTTCTTTGGTTTTTGAGCCGTCTGTATGAATCCATATTGCATTTGTAGCATATAACTCTGTGTTCTGCTTGATTTGTATTTTGTAGGGTTTATTGAACACAAACCTGGGTTCAATTGCATCTCTTGTTGCCTGCTACAGAGGTTGCGCAGTAAGGGCTTCCCGCCATAGGCCCAGCCTCAGTTGACCCATTCCTACTTCGAGGTTCACACCAGCCGTGCGCAATCGTACCATGGCCATTAACGCAACCTCCTTAACGTACATATCCAGAGGGGTCAGACCCGTGATTAATTTCATTGCCGCAGTTGATGTTGTTCTCATGGCTCCTGTGATGTTTATTGCAAACAGCTTCATTTCTTTGACTTGTGTTGGAGCTATATTTTCTTTTGATTATCTTATGTTCCCAAAAGCTGTTCACAAAATGTAATGATTGACAAAGATATGTCATTTGATGGATTGACGAATTTGAAAAGTGTCAATGATGGAATCATAAAATGTCGATTAATAATTTTCATTTTCATCAGTGGCATCCTTTCGAAGATATATAACAACTCAAACCTGCCTTATCTTTCAGTTTCATTAAATCACAATTCAAAAAACAATCTCGTCGAACGTAAAAAGACCATTTGGTAGACGAAATCCCGGGCGCTTTCGAACAATCATACATCCGTAAACAGCAATATAAAATCAAGCCACGGGGTGATTGCCGCAAAACGGCGGATAATCTCTGGAAAGAGGATTGAAGCTTTTGTGTTTTCAGATGTGCCCATTCTCCACCTGTCCTTGGGCTCCAACCTGAATCCCGAGGACATCGAAGAGGGAGACGATGTTTATTTTGAATGCAAAGTGAACGCCAACCCCTGGGCATACAAAGTTCTATGGAAGCACAACGTAAGTCTTTTCACTTCCTTTTTTTCTCGTTTCGCCAGTTTCGGGCAGATCCAATTAGTGTGTGGATATATTGATTTCCCAACTCCAGGGTGAATAATTTGCTTGTTGAGCAGGGCTTATTTTGCGACTGGCGAGAAAAAAAAATATATGAATCCTTTTTCAAATATTGAACTTTCCTCATATAACGAAATAATACTCACTTTCATATTTCAAGAAACGGATGAAGAAACCAAATTATAATTTCGTTAGGTATTTGATGATCTAGAAAAGGAAAACAGCTCGTTTTAATGAGCGATTAGGGATCCGACTCTCAATACTATATTCTCGTCCATGTTAGTTGATTTTTTGGTTGCCCAACTTTTGAAAGTTTCCGTTTGTTGTGTGTTGATAAGTGATGGGGAGCGAGGATGTTTACTAATTCAAAATTGAAAATTTGATTTGAAACTGTATAGAGCTTGGCTATTTTCTGTCTCTTCTGGAATCTCCTTACAATTGAATAGTCAATCAAGAAAGAGTTGCGTATATTGAAAATTTCATACTTGAAATAATGTTCCCAAGATATGTGATGAAAATTCAAAAGTATATTTCAATTTTCTTGCTATAAATTCATCTAAATATCCAGAAATGTATTCCCATGTTGTTGTCATCATGATATCCCATAATATATTTCGAAACAAAACTATATTTGTCCATTCCATTCGTTAGATCATCTCGTGAATGATCAAATGGCGCCCTCAATGTAAAAAATATATAGCAAGCATCTGCAATATGGTGTCAGGCTCTTCGCAGCAGGCCCTGCACCTGGAGTCAGGAACTTCTATACCCATCCAGTGACTGAGGTTTCCAGTCACTTCAACCCATTCGATCTGAGGAAAACGAAGATGAGGTACTTTGATAAGCTGAAGTTTCCAGTGTAGAAAACCATTCACCGTTTTGTCTGTCCATGTCCATAAAAATTAAGTAATTCTGACCTTCTACTGAAAAAAAAAAACGTGTAGTTCCCTGAAGATGATTTTATCTTCGGCTTCATCTTAAAAAAAGTAGTTCATAGTTATTCGTCCCAACTCTGCCCTGCTCAATGAATTGAAATCATGTCCCAGCGAAAATATTGGTTGAATTATTTTTTCATAAGCAAATTTTACGCAAATATATAACTTCAGTAAAAATTTGAAATATCTTCTGGCTTGATAGAAAGAGAAAAAGAATATTTCAAGTTATTATTGAACATTTTCCAACAGAAATTGTAGATTTAAATTTCACAATCACAACTTTAGTCCCAATAGAAATTCCAAAATATCACATGAAATAGATAATAAAAATTTCCTTAGACTTGACTTGTTTGAAGAGTTGGAGATTTCTGAAAAACTTTCCAACAATGATCATTGTTTGAATACTCTAGTAAACTTAAACAGAGATTTCCTTACCCTTCATAAGAGGATTATGAATTATTAATCAATCACATTTTATTAATACAATTTATTCAATATTTTTCATCTACATATTCAATCAAATCCATAATGGATCACTCCTCAAGTAGGTACCATTATTTTAACATAACACTTGACACATTCTGTCTCAAGTTGTCCTTCTTCATATGATACTTTGACTGAACCACATGGCCTCAATCCAAAAATGTATTTTTTTGGCTATAAGCCTATTTTGTTTTATATAAGTCAAATATTACAAATGTGCAATTTACCTATTTCGATACTTCCTGTTGCCTGACAAGTGAGTAATCTCAAACAATTTTTCCAAATTTCTTAACCTTAAAAAATTTTACAACTTCAATTATCACTAAATTCCCTATTCAACTAGATCACTTACTTTCAGGTGAGCACTGATGATGACGAAAGTCGAAAGCGCTTTGCAAGAATTTTAAAAATTATACACTTCAATACAAAAAACCGAATATTTTTGACTTAAAAATGTACGCCACTGAATTTTATTCAATTTTTATCATTTCTTTGGATTGAGCAATTCAAAATACAACTTTTTTGTCTCCTGAATTTTTTCGTATCTTGCTTAGTTTTTAGGAAAAAAGTCGACCTAATTGCATATCCCTGGACCACACAAGGAATAACATGGGGAATCAAATGTTTCTTTCAGAAATTATCATTTTTACAATTTTTCATTACTAATTATGTAACAATAACAACAAATATTAAATAACATTAACATCTAGACGAACGAATTGCACTAAATTAGGTGTTGAAAATGGCGTCCTTTGGCTTCAATACAACCGTCTAGCCGCCGCATCATTGAATTTCGCACTCTTCTGAAAATACCTGGCGTATTTTTTATTATATCACATGAAATAATGATTTTATTCCGTACATCCTCTTCACTATGAATAGCAGTTTTGTATATCAACGCTTCAAGGTGTGCCCAAAGAAATTAATCTAAGGGACTCATTTTGGGCGAGCGAGGTAGCCATGGATGTGGGCCTGCTCTCCCAATCCAGCGATTATGGTGATTTTCATCCAAAAATTGCCGTGCCACTACAATAAAGTGTGGTGGAGCACCATCGTGCATGTACCACATACGGAATATTTCCATTACTGGAATTTCTTCTGAAAGTCCAGGTGAAACAAATTCTAAAAACCTTCGATATTCTCCTCCATCAAGTCTAGGTGGAAGGAAGTGAGGCCCAATGAGATGGTCACCGACAATTCCAACCCAAATATTGAAAGAAAACTGTTCTTGAAAATCATTTTCTATCAAGGCGTGTGGATTGTTTTCGGCCCAAATGTGATTGTTGTGGAAGTTAATAATTGAATTGCGAGAAAAACAAGCTCCATCTGTAAACAATATCGACTTAGAAAACCTGGATTTCTTCTTATTTTACCGCGTAACCAATTAGAAAAAGCTAGTCTCACAGGCAAATCTCTGGGCAATAGAGCTTGCACACGTTGCATGTGATAGGGATATAGCTGCTGGGCTCTTAAAATCTGCCACACTGTTACGAAGGTAATATTCAGTTCTTCAGCTATTTTCCGAATACCATTCGTATCGCTACAGACCTCCCAATGACAATCGTCGATCTTTTAAAGCTGCCTGTCTCAGAAAGCCGTGCATGGAGACGTACAAAAGTTCTTCTATTAGGCACTACACGCTGAGAAAATCTTTCATGGTAAATGCGTCTTGCGGAATTCGAGTTTCTGTGAGCCATTCCATAACAGAAATGCATATATGCCATTTCACTGTTAGTTAATTGAACCATGTTTTACCAAAATGGTTCAAAAAATAACCACTAAACACACTTTTTGTAACAATTATAAATTGAAAGTTCATGAAGTTGACAACTGTCAAGTTGTTTATTAAATGCTGCGTTCGTTTTCCAAGGCAACCCTTGATTATTATTATTATTCATGATATTTTCAGAAGAGTGCGAAATTCAATGATGCGGCGGCTAGACAGTTGTATTGAAGCCGAAGGGAGCCATTTCCAACACTTAATTTAGTGCAAAGCCAAAATTGCAAAGAAAATGGCAAAAAAAAAATTCATTAAGAAAACGCACTGTGAAATTCGAATGGATCCCACATCCACCATATTCGCCAGATTTGGCCCTCAGCGACTACTGGCTGTTCGCATACCAGAATGAAGAACTTATTGCTGGAATCGAAGCATATTTTGATTCAAAAGCGTTCCTCAAAAGCGGTATCGGAATGTTGGAGCGGAGCTGAAATGATTGTGTGGCTCTTGATGGTCACGATGTCATAAAGTCATTTCTGAACAGAAAAAAATGCGTTGCCTTTCTCAGGCCCGGGACTTTCCGGCCCTTGAGATATATTGTCATCTATAGTTAACTCCAGTGAATTTCTCCACTCTTTGATAGTTTGTATTTTAGGGACAGAGTGAAAGAAGTACAACTTCGATACCGTCTCGGGTACATCATTTGTGATTGTTGTTCGCAAAATAATTTTCAATTATAATATTATCAAAAAAAAATATTACTGGCAGTAGAAAACGCTAGTAACAGTAACTGTATGTGGTTTCCATAGTCTGTTGGAATTTTGTGCGTCTTTTCGCTGACGCAAGTGGCTGGAATCTTCGTTAAGGTTGAAAGTACCTCTAACGTCAGGCAGAAATTGCCGAAACATTTCAGTAATAGTAGTTTTATCATTATCTCTCAATTTTTTTAAGTTTTTTTTTGAAAACTTAAATATAATATCAGTTCGTTATTTTCATAATCATAAAGTATACTCATATTTTTCATTCGTTTATTGATCCATTCAAAACTCTTAATAGGTTTGATAGACACTCCACTCCAGTTCAACTCCAGTATTGAAAAGAATATCCGAACGTAGCTAATGTAATGAACTTTACATGGAGGAAAGTGAAACAGCATTGAGACTTGATGGCTTCGTAACTATTACACTGGCGATTGATCGAAATATTCTATGGATATTTCATATAATAATTTATGCGAAAGATATCTTAGATTCGATGATACAGATCATTATAGTCGAAGCAAGTAGAATATTCGTTTGAATTTTCCCAAAACTCATTTATTTTTCAAGTTTCTGTGTAATTCATGAAATAATAAATTTCAAACTTCATAAAAATGCATTTGCAATATTTCATAACATATCTATATGAAAATAAATTTCACCTAAATTCAGTTTTCGGTTTTTACAGGATTTTCAAGCATTTGAACGGTATTTTTATAATTTTTTCTAATTATTTGACTTGATTCATGCACCGACTGAAATGAATGAAACATTGATTGTTAAGGGAAAACCGGATTCAAATCTGTTGAGCCGATTAAAATTAATGAAATACTGGATGTTGAGGGAAAACCTGACTCAAATCTTGGTCAGGTTATCCAATTCAAGGAATGAAGAAACGCCCATCTATGGTAATATAAAACCGATAGCATTTGATGGTGTATATTCCAGTTGTAAACGAAACCTAGTAAAAACCCGCAAACAAAGACCAAGAAACCCTAAAAATATCTTCGACATAGCCTCAATAGTTTTTTCCCAAAAATCTTCGATTTG